GCAGGACTGTTCAGACCCATCTCTTGCTAATGAGAGCCATGGGACGGTGTGATGAGCTGGATCTCACCCTTGGTGATTAGAAGTGACCTACCTCTTGCTGCTAGGTGAAATAGCTCTGTGTAATGGGCTATAAAAAATCCTAACTGGTAATTTTCCAGTTGGGATGGGTCACCACTACAGCCACCTCCATCGGCTCTTCTCATTTCTGCCATGGTTTTGTGTGTGTTTCGTTTGACCTGGGTGTAATGAGCAAAGAAGAATAAAGTAGCTGCAGACACACAATCAACCATCATCTGCTGAAGCTGATGAATATGCCAAGACTGCTAAGTGGGTCTTCATTAGCTATTCCCAGGCTAAGAGCAGTCCTTATTTATTCTTCTTTCCTAGGTGGATCTATTTTTGAATGTCTTTTGTACTGATCTTGTCTGGAGGGTGGGAGGTTGGATGGAGGGTACCACCACCGCCAGGTAACCAGAGTATTTCCATGAAAAAAAACCAGACCGTGACATGAAGTTGGCAGCAAACTGAAGAGAAGAAACAATGCGATGCCATTTAGAGCAGGAAGGAATAATTTTCCCTGGTGACATCTCTAGTGGGAGGCAGAACTTTATCTTCTCTTCGCAGCTCAAATGAAACATCGCAGCAGCATTAACTCCACTTCCCCTTTCCAGCATGTCTTTTCATTAAGTTTTTTTTTTATTGCCGTAGCAGGGAATGCATTTTCCAGGGAGGGTTTGCAGGGCTGTCGCTGGAGATGCAAGCCCAGGATGTCCTGCCCAGGATGTCCCACCCAGGCTGTGACACATGCAATGCTATTGCAGCCAGAAGGATGAGCCTGGTGGTCTGCACTGCATGTAGATGAGCTGCGGTGAAGAAGGAAAAACTGATATATATCTGTCTGGAGAGGGGATTTTGGAGCAGCAGGTTGTGGCCAACCTTGTTCCAGGGGCCCACCACATCCTGGGACATCCTTGAGGGTGCAGATGGGCCAGTGCCTAACCTCTGGTGGTGGCAGTGTCTTCATGAGAGAAAGGTGCCTTTTTCACGACCCTCTTTTCTACACTGGGCATCACTTAAACTTTCTCATTTAAGCTTTTTTTACAAGCCACAGGTCCCATCGTGCTGGGCAGGGGCTGGTTGGCTGCGGGTGCCTCTCTCCCTCCCGGCAGCATCCTCCGGCGGCGCAGGCTGCCCTCTCCCGACACACCGGGTGTCTGAGGGATGCAGCAGCCGAGCATCAGCATCCTCAGCCAGCACCATCCTGGGTCCATCCACACTCTGAACAGCCCAGTACTGCCCCATCCCAGTGAGCACATCCCCCGAGATGGCCTGGCCCCACCACCAGCTCCTGCCGATACTGGTCCCACCACATCCCCCCCTGCAGTGTGTGGGGGCTGCTTGAGAAACCACCCAGAGCACTGCATTCCCTCTGGCAGAAGATTTCCACCTCGCCTGACTGATTCCTGCCCTCCCAAACCTGCCCAGAACATCATTTTTTAAAAATTATTATTTTTTTAATAATCTGTCAGTGTGGGAGTGAGCACTGGACTTACAGGAGTTCTCTTTCCCCAGCTGAGGTTATTCATGCTGCAGATCCCATGGGTGCCACCCTGGGAAAGCGTGTTTAGCAGCATGTGGCTCCAGGAAAGCCTTTTTATATGAGCAGCAACACGAGCCGAGCTCTTGCACATCTGGGGTTTGTAAGCAGCTGATCTAAAAGAGATTACTTTTGGTTTTTTTTTTCCCCCCTTACGCTTTTGACCTTATTTGCTGTAAATGAAACATCATCTAACCTTCCAGAAAATGCCATGATCCTTCGATCTGACATGAGAACATAAATCTTCCATAAGAGCACATCCCTTCTGGGTCTCGGGTCTCTGGAGCTGAGTTCTGGACACAAAGTGGGAATTGCAGCATCCTGAATCCGGAACAGCGGTACCTGAGCCCTGCACTTCTCCATCCCAGAGAGTGACAGCCCTACGGGGTTAATCACTGGCTGAGCTGGTTTTGCATCAATACCTAATGGTAAAATTGGGATTTCTTGGGCCTGAATCACCTCGAGCATCTGAAAGTTTTGTGGGAGAAGTGAAACCTTTCCCATCTGGCTCCATGGGGCCTGCTGGGATAAAAAACAGCTTTACAGCTCCAAACAACCCACCTTGCCCTGTTTCAGCCTCCCCTGGTCACCTCCTAGAAGGGGCCTTAGAGGCTGAATTTTGGAATTGCTGAGATGTGGGGCTGTGTGCCATGCTCAGCCAGTGCAGCCCGTGTTTCTCACAGTGTATTTCCTGAGTGTGATGCCTGTGGGTCCCCAATCTTGGCTGCACCATCAGCCCGGCCGGTTGTGCCTCCCCCTTGCTATTTTGGGGAACCGCAGAGGCCTTTCCAGGAAGGCAGTGGGGCGGCTGGGGGATTGGGGGGGAAGCTGCAAAGCCTTGTCCCCACCGAGGCCGGAGCAGCAGCGAGGGTTATTTAAAGGTAGGAGGTTATTTGTGGGGAGACGTGGCTCTCGCACTGCTCGAGGGCTTCCTGCCTCCCACCCACCACAAGTGGTGCAGAGGACATTCTGCTCAAGAAGTGCACAATTTTAGGTGCAGACCTCTCTCCTTGGTGGCTTATTCCTGGAGCAGGCCCCCCCAAAACCCCTCTGAACCCAGGGAACGACCTAAAGCCCTTTGTATTTTGCCGCGTTTCCATCTGGATCCGGTCGGTGACATTCCTGACCTCCAACGTGCTGGGGAAGATGGGTTTAACCGACCCCCCTCCAAAAGCCCCAGAAAGATAAAATTTCATTCTTTCTGCCTGGACCACCTTTCCTTGTTTTGCCACTAGATGGGAGAGTGAGACTGGGATAACTCAGCCGCTCCCCTGCGCATCCCGCAGGAATTCCAAGGAGAAACGCCTGCGGGTCACCCTGCAAATCCCCCCACCTCGGGGAGGCCAGGGGTCACCCCCAAAATACACAGTTATTACCAGCTTCCCCCCCTCTGCCCTCATGCAAGGGGGAGTCTCTTAACCAAAACTAGATATATTCTTGGGATGAAATACTTAATTATTTTATTTTTTTTTTAATATCCCCGTGTCCTGGAGCAGAGGGATGTGGGGGGAGCGCCTGTAATTCACTCCTCACACCCCAAATCCTGCTTCCCAGGAAGGCAGGAGACCCCACTAATTGCTTTGGGAGGTTAAGGATAAAGCAGCATTTTCTCCTCCTTTCCTTCCACGCCTTTCTCCCCTGGGATTCCTGCCCAACGATGCTCCCAGTGATACCGTGCTCCTGCCCAGATTAAGAACAGGCTGGTGCCATGGTTCCTGGTGCAGGAGGAGGACTTGTGCCCTGCTCTGACACCACTGGCCTCAGGAGCTGCTGAAGACGAGGGAGGGGAAGGTGCTCCCAGGTCAGTAATGACTTATTAAGTTCACTTTCACTGAAACACTTCCCATCTCCCGAGATTCTTCCCAAGGTCTTGCTGGGACTGGGTCTATTTGGGAATTTTATCATTGCAGGAACACTTTCTTAACCAAATCAAAGATTGCCCAGTTTGCCTACTTTTATTATTACAAGGTTTGGGGTTTTTAAAAATGAACAACTCTTCTTCCTTCCTGAGATTTCACAGGTTCTGGAACAAATCTCTTGGTACCCAAATTCTCTGAGTGACCGTGGCAGAATATGTAATCCTGTAGCTTGGAAATTATCTTTTGGGGGGGATGCTGCCTGCTCAGCCTTCCTAATTTGCAAGCTTTTTAGGGACTGGCTCAACTGGGTTTTTTTTAATGCCTGGCACAGTCGGGCAGTGAAATGAAGTAACCCCAGTAACTTCCCTAATTGCAGCGCCCTCGTTGCCTCTGTTGGGGTCTCCTAGCTTTGCCTCCACACACATCTGCCATTATCCTGTCAAAGAAAAATATCAGCTGCTTCGGAAGAGGAAGTTCATGGGGTTTTAACTGCATGGAATTACTCCTGATTTACATAAGGAGTGGCCACCCCACCCCGTGCGTGCCACGAGGCCACTGAGTCACCAGCACCTCCTGCACCTCGCTGGGGTGGACCCAACATCCCCTCCGAAGAGGAGAAGAGATGTCTTCAGCTGGTAATTACAGCTGGAAAAACATTGCCCGGAAGCAATAAAACGTAGAGGAAATTCTGGATCTGGCAGGTCCAGGGCACGTTTGCTTCTGCAGGTGCAGGTTTGGCTGGTTGGGGGAACCCGGGGTGAGACCCACACGGGCAGCTCCCACCCGGGCCATGGTCCAGCCTCCCAGATGCAGGGTGTCTCCCATAGACCTTGATCCTGCGAGAGGAACGATAAGGATGGATTTTCAAAATCAGCTGTAACGCGTGGGATCCAGGCCTTATCTGAGACAGCAACACAATTACCCACGTGATTTTGCTCTCCGTGCTTACGGGGGCAATATTTTTTCCAAAGTTCAAAGTCTTTCCCTGCAGGAAGCATGTGATGCACTCCGCAGTCACCATGTAGCTTTGGTGCGATGAGCAATTAAAGAAATCAATTTCTGGAGCAATATTTTCTATGTTTGTAATCTCTGAACTAATTACAGGACTGGAAAATCAATCGCTATCTGGAAATCTTTCCAGCAGGGCTCACTAAGCAAGCTACATATCATGCTGGAATATATTCTTCATGTATACACATGATGTTTGCGACCATCCCCAGATCATCTGGGCAGGTGATATCGCTGTCAGTGTGTTCTCCCTTACACTGCAATGGCAGTATAGACCAAAATTCAGGGGGGGGGACTGGGGAGAGCAAACAGTGCAGCACACAAGATCTGGAGAGCTGTTCTGTGCCAGCACTTTAAGCCAACAACAGAGTTGAAAGACACGGTTAGTTCAACAATAATCTCCAAAAAGATTACGAAATAAACTCATTAAAAGTTCATGCCTCGGTTATAATGCTGTTTTTTCACCAGTTTCCATCTGGATCCGGTCGGTGACATTCCTGACCTCCAACGTGCTGGGGAAGATGGGTTTAACCGACCCCCCTCCAAAAGCCCCAGAAAGATAAAATTTCATTCTTTCTGCCTGGACCACCTTTCCTTGTTTTGCCACTAGATGGGAGAGTGAGACTGGGATAACTCAGCCGCTCCCCTGCGCATCCCGCAGGAATTCCAAGGAGAAACGCCCGCAGGTCACCCTGCAAATCCCCCCACCTCGGGGAGGCCAGGGGTCACCCCCAAAATACACAGTTATTACCAGCTTCCCCCCCTCTGCCCTCATGCAAGGGGGAGTCTCTTAACCAAAACTAGATATATTCTTGGGATGAAATACTTAATTATTTTATTTTTTTTTTAATATCCCCGTGTCCTGGAGCAGAGGGATGTGGGGGGAGCGCCTGTAATTCACTCCTCACACCCCAAATCCTGCTTCCCAGGAAGGCAGGAGACCCCACTAATTGCTTTGGGAGGTTAAGGATAAAGCAGCATTTTCTCCTCCTTTCCTTCCACGCCTTTCTCCCCTGGGATTCCTGCCCAACGATGCTCCCAGTGATACCGTGCTCCTGCCCAGATTGAGAACAGGCTGGTGCCATGGTTCCTGGTGCAGGAGGAGGACTTGTGCCCTGCTCTGACACCACTGGCCTCAGGAGCTGCTGAAGACGAGGGAGGGGAAGGTGCTCCCAGGTCAGTAATGACTTATTAAGTTCACTTTCACTGAAACACTTCCCATCTCCCGAGATTCTTCCCAAGGTCTTGCTGGGACTGGGTCTATTTGGGAATTTTATCATTGCAGGAACACTTTCTTAACCAAATCAAAGATTGCCCAGTTTGCCTACTTTTATTATTACAAGGTTTGGGGTTTTTAAAAATGAACAACTCTTCTTCCTTCCTGAGATTTCACAGGTTCTGGAACAAATCTCTTGGTACCCAAATTCTCTGAGTGACCGTGGCAGAATATGTAATCCTGTAGCTTGGAAATTATCTTTTGGGGGGGATGCTGCCTGCTCAGCCTTCCTAATTTGCAAGCTTTTTAGGGACTGGCTCAACTGGTTTTTTTTTAATGCCTGGCACAGTCGGGCAGTGAAATGAAGTAACCCCAGTAACATCCCTAATTGCAGTGCCCTCGTTGCCTCTGTTGGGGTCTCCTAGCTTTGCCTCCACACACATCTGCCATTATCCTGTCAAAGAAAAATATCAGCTGCTTCGGAAGAGGAAGTTCATGGGGTTTTAACTGCATGGAATTACTCCTGATTTACATAAGGAGTGGCCACCCCACCCCGTGCGTGCCACGAGGCCACTGAGTCACCAGCACCTCCTGCACCTCGCTGGGGTGGACCCAACATCCCCTCCGAAGAGGAGAAGAGATGTCTTCAGCTGGTAATTACAGCTGGAAAAACATTGCCCGGAAGCAATAAAACGTAGAGGAAATTCCGGATCTGGCAGGTCCAGGGCACGTTTGCTTCTGCAGGTGCAGGTTTGGCTGGTTGGGGGAACCCGGGGTGAGACCCACACGGGCAGCTCCCACCCGGGCCATGGTCCAGCCTCCCAGATGCAGGGTGTCTCCCATAGACCTTGATCCTGCGAGAGGAACGATAAGGATGGATTTTCAAAATCAGCTGTAACGCGTGGGATCCAGGCCTTATCTGAGACAGCAACACAATTACCCACGTGATTTTGCTCTCCGTGCTTACGGGGGCAATATTTTTTCCAAAGTTCAAAGTCTTTCCCTGCAGGAAGCATGTGATGCACTCCGCAGTCACCATGTAGCTTTGGTGCGATGAGCAATTAAAGAAATCAATTTCTGGAGCAATATTTTCTATGTTTGTAATCTCTGAACTAATTACAGGACTGGAAAATCAATCGCTATCTGGAAATCTTTCCAGCAGGGCTCACTAAGCAAGCTACATATCATGCTGGAATATATTCTTCACCTATACACATGATGTTTGCGACCATCCCCAGATCATCTGGGCAGGTGATATCGCTGTCAGTGTGTTCTCCCTTACACTGCAATGGCAGTATAGACCAAAATTCAGGGGGGGGGACTGGGGAGAGCAAACAGTGCAGCACACAAGATCTGGAGAGCTGTTCTGTGCCAGCACTTTAAGCCAACAACAGAGTTGAAAGACACGGTTAGTTCAACAATAATCTCCAAAAAGATTACGAAATAAACTCATTAAAAGTTCATGCCTCGGTTATAATGCTGTTTTTTCACCAGGCTTTATTAAAAGATATAAGTAAATCCTTTGGTGACTGAAAATAACCTCTTTCTCCGGTCTCCTGGCAGGAGAGAAGTGGTATTAATGGGTAGTTAAATGGCTATTACACTTCAAAAACATGCGTAAAGAGGAAGGGTGTTGCTCTGATGGATAGGTTCTCCTCTGGCTGCACAAACACACCGTGTTGACTGTGGCTGGAACCGGAGCCCAAACCTTTGTGCCAAGGCTTCCTGGGCACTGCAGGTGTTGCCAGGATATTCCCATGGGACACGGTGCCAAACGCCCAGCGAGGGGATAAGGAGCAAAGACCACGGTGCAGGTAATGATCCCCTTTGCATCGCTGTGTGGGATGGCAGAGCGATGGGTTCTGAGCTGATTTGCTCTGTTTTAAGGTGTTTTTTCTTTGATTATTTATTCTTCATAGCTTTTTCCCCTCCCCAGTGAGATGCGCAGAGGAAAAGTGGGACCAGGGCACATCTCTGCCCTCCCTCACTCTCCAGGCCAGGGGGGTCCCACAGCTCTAAGAGGTGGAGATCATCATCCTGGAGCAGAGCTTCAGGTCAAGCAACCCATGAAGGTAAGGACAGGAGAGTCCCTTGTTCTAGCCCCCATCTTGGGAGACAGGCCACGATTTATAGTCCCTCCTAACTATGAACTTAACAGGTTAATTATGCTCAAAGAATTTAAATTTTGGAGCTGGGGATCTGGATTGTGATTATTGTTATTATTACACACTGTTTGCATTTCTGTGGGATGCCCAGGTCCAGCTCAGGAGCTCCTGTGCCTGGTGCAGCCCATGGGCACAGAGAAAGGAGCCCCTCGAGGTGCTGGGGACCCACCTGGAGCCCTCACCCACACCCAGAACATGCACTTCCACGGTGTGCCTTTGCCAATCTGGGCTCCTTTCAGCCAAAAAGCAACAGTTAGAAAAATTTTGTGCTCGTCATCACGATAGCAGTCAAAACTTGCCCTAACTCCTAAGCCTGAAATGACTTCGGGGCTGCCGGGTAGGATGTGCTGGTCAGACTCTGTAGGAACAGCATCACGATAGCAGTCAAAACTTGCCCTAACTCCTAAGCCTGAAATGACTTCGGGGCTGCCGGGTAGGATGTGCTGGTCAGACTCTGGGAACAGACCTACGGCTGCTGTGCTGAGCTTCAAGGTGTTTTCTCTTGGGATGGTGCCATCTTTGGACTTTTCCACCACTCTTTGAGTGTAATGTCGTATCTCACTCAAATAAAAGTTGATTGGAGTGCAAGAAATCGCTTCTTTTTCTGTCTTAGGAAAGAAAAGCCGCAGTGTCTGTGCATCGCCTGACGGAAAAGACCTGAGACAAAGGAGCTCAGACCCTTCAGAAGTATTTCAAAGCGAAGCTACAGCTCTCCCTTACCCCTTTAAAAATTAACACGACACACTTTGTGCATGTTCAGCAGGGAAGTTCCCAATATCTTCTCCCCTTATCCAGGAGGAACAGCCTGGCAGTGCTGGTCCTGGCTGGTTTATAGAGGGCCAGAGCAGGACAAGCAGCCAGGGATGCTCCCCTGGCCATGGGGACAGCCCCAGCGAGAGGTTTGCACAGAGATTATTGGGTTTAGCAGCCACCAGAGCCTGTGTCACTCAATAATTTGTCTAATCCTTCCTCGAGCACAGTTACTTTTGGCTCTGCAGTGCCCTCCAGACACGGTTGCCACTGTTTAATCAGGAGTTTGCTTTAAACCTCCTGCCTCACCCTGGCATTTCCAGCATCCCTGGCTCTCCCGGCGAGAAATGCAGCTCTCGGGGCTGAGCAGGAGGGATTCTGATGCTCCGGTTTGGGGAAGCAACGGGGTCTTACAGAGGTAAAATAGCCCAAAGTCTGGGAAAAATCCCAGAGGGAGAATTTCAGAAGAGCATTTCCCACTGCAAACCAGCGCTAGCCACCGCTCCAGAGCAAACCCACCCTTATTTGTTATTTATTGTTTGCTGCAATTGAATTTCTGGCTCAAATTGGAGTTATAATAAAACTCAAAAAAAATCTTCTTTTATTAAAAAAAAAATAATCAATTTCTGTTCTTGCTTCCTGCAGTTTGCTGCTTGTTCTGCAACAGGAGATGTGAATCATGGAAGTATTTATAACAGCGATATTAGGAAATGATCATTCAGGCACCAGAAATCTGCAATAGGCATTATGCCTTTAAATAAATCCTTTATGACTATGTTAACCTAATCTTGTCAATACATGCACACTTAACTATATTAAAAATGCAAATGTTCCCAGAACCAGGTTTTACATTATGAATATCCAACAACTCCCCTTCTTTCCTCGTCAGCTCTGTGGATCTTTGGGGAAAAAAACAAAAATGAGGAGAGTTTCATTTGATGGGTGTTAATAAGGTTTATGTCTGCACAGATTTAGCCCCAAGATTGTCACGATCATCCCCGGCCCCACGTGGTTTGCAGGACTGAGTTTGAAGAAACATCTTTCAACAGCCGCTGGTGAAGGAGTGATTCCAGCTCTGGGAGCGCCTCCAGCCAACCGGCTCCCCTGCTGTGGCACTACATTTGCATTCATTAAAGCCAGGGTTTTAATGATTTACGGTGATTTATAAAAAACGGCAGCCCAGAGCTCCCGACACTCCCAAAGCTTCTGACAGAGGTACAACACATCATAAATCCATCCCAGTGTGAAATATTGAAGGAAAATCATTGCGGGTATATCTGCAAGTGTTAACATGACCCATAAAATCAGAGTTTCAGACAAACCAAAACACTCAGAGCCTCCCAAATCCGAGGAGATAGTAACCCATATAATAACAATAATATAATGATTATAACGTTAGTAATGCTACTACTAATACGATTACCAGTCTCCTTGTCATTATTTATTACCATCACTGCCCTGATAATTCTCAGCTCTAATGACGGATGGGGGCAGGGAGGGCCTGGGCCAGAGATGGCCCCATCCTCTCCGAAACCTTTGTGCCCATCACCAAGCCCCAGCCCAGCAGAAACCTTCTCCTTTCAATTTGAAAAGAAAACTCACCAGTAGCAGAGGCTGAGCCGGACAGGTGAGGGGGCGAGAGATGATGATCCTAAGATGAGACACTAGCAGGGGTGAGGAGGATTTAGGGCAGATGCTGTCAAGGAGAGCTGACGAGCATCTTCTCTCCCGTTGCATCCTTCCCCCCCCTTGGTCTGCAGAGCCAGGAGAGAAACAGAGCGAGGCACAACCTGAGCTCATGCCAAGCCCCCAGCACCTTCACTCGGCTCCCTGCCACCCTGCCCATGCTCCCCCCCCTCTGCCCAAACCCTGCCCATCCTTCCCACCCCCAGCTTTCACTGCATCACACACGCTTCATCCCTTTCTATAGCTTTGGCAAATTAATTTTGGCTTCTCCTCTCCCCTGAGACTGCTACAAAGATGCTCAGGATGAGCCCAGTCCCAGGAAGATGCCGAGTTCTGGAGGAGCCTTCTGCCACCCACCCGGCAAGGTGTGCATCAGCTCACCCAGGCTGAGCCCCACGGGCTTTAAAAACCAGTTTAAAACAAACTTGCCCCTGGGACAGACTCCTCCTCATTTACAAATGAATCAGCAGGGATGGCAGGGCTGATTTGCCACGTCACTGCCAAGCCTCTTTTAAAGACTTGTAGGAGACAGATTTCTTCCAGGTGACCTCTCCTTCTCCCCACACCTTCTCCTTATCACAGTTACTGTCAGCTCATGCAAATCCATAGGACAAGCTCCGTATCTCTACATCCCCCTCACCTGAGAGGTAATATATTTTGAGATGCTGTACAAAAAAAATCACCAAAAACTAAGCAAACCACTTACTCTGCACCTCTGAGGACAACCTCACCAAAGGCAGGGTGGACCAAACCGTGTGTGGAGAAGGGAGCAGAGCTGAGGAGCAGGGATGCATCACCCTGAAGCTGGAGCCAGCGACGAAGGCAGCTTGGCCCAGTTGAACAGGAACTGGGGGGGTTTCCCCAGCTCAGATGCTTTTGACGCACCACTTCACCTTTGCACATCCGCTGCCCTTTCCACCACGTTTATTTAAAATATAAACATTTTGAAACAGAGCCTTACTCATGGGTGATTGTAGGGCACCAGCCCAAGCAACATCCTAACTTCGGACAGGAAACAATTCATAAACCAACAGCAGTGTGTGTCCAAGCAAAAAGCTTCCTGGTTCTCCTGACCACAGCATTTTGCAAAGAGCAGGCTCTTCCACATTTTATTTGGCTTTAAAAACTTACTCAACAGCTCCCAAGTTAGCCCAGTAAGTGAAAGCGAAGCCTGCAAGAAGCCCATCCACCTCCAACTCCATGGGACGCAGCAAGGAAGGGACAAAAAGGCAGCACTTTCCAGCTCCATCCTGGAGCCACTGCTGCAGAGGATGAGGAGGAGGAAGCAGCGATGTGAGTGGCACCTTGTCACAGACTGGGATGAGCTTCAGAGAGCTGCAGGGGCTGCTTCTGCCTGGGTTACCGATGGGTTATGGATGGGTTACCAATGGGTTATGGATGGGTTACTGATGGGGTCCCACACTCCAGCAGTGGTGGGAAGGGCACACGGAGCAGAGATGGGGACGTCAGGGCTCGGCGTGGCTGGGTGTCACCCCTCTGGCCATCTCTACCCCCCTCCTTGCTGCCTCACGTGGTGTTGGCTGGGGTTTTCCATTACCCAGGTTATCCTGCGCGCTCCGGAGCTGATGATTGCACTTTAAGGAGCTAAACACACATCACCTGAATTATTTATCTCTGAACATGCAGAAACAGGCCAAATTCCCAAGTGATGTGAAACAGAACACTTAGAAAAACAGCAAAGGGGGCTCAGAAGCCACACAGGTAGGCACACATGAGAGCTGGGTGGTTACAGACCCTCGCAGGTGTCACATCTTCTTGCCCCACTGATCTACACCTCTCTGGGGTGGGTGCTGCTCCAGAGACACCCCCACGGAACCACTCAAGGGCCCCTTCTCTACCCAGAAACCAACCACTGTGACAGCAAGTCCCCAAACGGTGGAGAAAAAAGACCCAAAGGTGTTAATGCAAAGGGAAGGGGTTTGGTGTGTCCCCACGGCTTTCCTGCTCCGGAGGTGACCTGCCCTTCTTGGCAACCAGGAGCCCAGCCCCATACTGCACCAATAAAGATAACGCCCTGATAACTGTGTTTATGCCCCAGATAAAATAATGCTCGTGCATTTGCCCCCTGGGTTTTTTCTTCCTCTTACCCGAGGTCAGCGCAGTCGCCCGGGGGGGTAAAGACTGAACTCCTGCCATTGCTCTCTGCCACCGCAGCACAGGGCTCCTCTCAGCAGTTTCCCCCTCGCTCTGGTCCATGGGTTTATCCCAGGATTTGTCCCTGAGCATCCCGGGATGCAGGGAGACTGGGATACCCCGGAAGGGATACGGGGGGGGCAGAAGGGGGGGACCAGCCTGAGCCCTGCCCAGGGGCTGCGCCCGGGATGCAGGGAGACGGGGATACCCCGGAGGGGATACAGGAGGGGGTGAAGGGGGGACCAGCCTGAGCCCTGCCCGGGGGTTGCAAGGCCTCAGGTGCGCAGTGGGATGGGAAATTGGGCATTTTGCATAAAATGCACCTTCCCTCGCCCTCTCCTTACCCCGTTTCTTCTCGCTCCCCCATCCCTCTCCCCCCCCCTCCCCTTGCTGCCCCTC